CATTTTATAGCTAAGGTGTTTATCTGTAGAATGGCATATCTCTCAGCTCTATTGAACATTTCTATGAAAAGCTGTGATTTTTTCAAAATATGCTACTTTTCGCTACTATTAAAATAAAATGCTTATAACTCTTGAAGGATTGAACGAGAGCACGAATGGTTTTCAGATTCATAATCAGCACCCTTAAATTAGCAAAGTGGGGTACATTGCTTTGAAATTCCAGGGAAACACCTGGGGACTTTTCCTCGTAAGTGTATCATCGTATAGCCAAGGGGGAAACAGCTGATTTTTGAATTTTTCCGCTTTTCACTGATTTTCATCGATTTCCACCAAATGAAAAGTCACCGGAAATGACTGGAAGTCCTTGGAAACCACAGAGAATCACAGAGGATCACTAAAAATCAATTGATTTTAGCTAATTTTCGACTGACTTCAGTCAGCTATTTGCCCCTTTCGTAAGCTCACGGTGTCTAATATCAAAATTAAGTTTTTTCCCAAGCCTGCGAAAAGCAATTAGTCAACAAATTGTACTTTATTTATAGAACAACGAAATCGCATATATTTTATTGATAACAGACGGTAGACCAACTATTTTTCAGCGCTGGGCGGTCTTCCAGGAAAAAGTTATCAGAATTATACGAATCTGTAAATCATTTCACCTTCACAACATTCGTATTTGTATTGTAGAGGTTTTTTGTCAGATTAACTGTCAATATTGATCTCAGACTGGAATAAATACATACTATTGGAGGCTGATAGAGTCCAATTTTTGAATTTCGTTCTAGTTGGTCCCTAAGAAGTATTTTTCTAAAGAAGTTATCCAAACTTATTTAAATTTTGATTTTTAGACGGAAAAGGGAAGAATACTTCGCCTTATAGCTATCGTTATCGGTGTAGAATGCTCGTCAGTGTCACTTTAAATAGCCCGATATGTTCCCCACAATTGCCAAGCTTCTAACGTGATCCCCGTCTCGTTACTAATCATCAACCACTGCTCTGGACGAAAGAGTAGCCTGATACGGAGTTCTTTTTGCTCAATTACATGAGTTTCTAATATATATTCACTAATCATGTGCTAGCTTTTTGAAAAGCTACGCGAGTTAACCAGAAGGACTGTACTGTACGTCACAGCATAATGAATATGCTGTCGGACGGGTGATTCGAGACATTAAGACACTCACAACTCGTCCAAAGTTAAGTTATTACATGACCCACTGGTGCCGGAGTTCGAACACCATTCATTTGAAGTACGTGATAAACAATATAACCACTAAACTATGCCATTTTTTTGACATATGAACACTCGCACCATTCGAGAATGCAAAACACTAGAATCAGGCTCTATTAGCCCCTGCATTAACACCTGTTTGAGACTAGTCCGATCTCTTCGACTGATCATTTGAGAGAGAGAAACTCTGTAAATACGAACAGACCCGTCTGACTTATATTGAAAGAACATGTCGAAAACATGAATAGATAGAGCCTGGGAAAAAGTTCTTCATAATCACACTTTTATATTCAAAATATTTTCTGAAAGTTTTATCCAGATCGCACTTATACTGCCAAAGATATATTTCATACAGGAGAGATCTTCCATATCATTTTTTGTTTCAGTTTTAGTTACGAAATACAAAATTATGATGAATATCAAAGCTCCCTGTTCTAGTATTGATTGCAAAGGCGTTGGTGTATTTTCTTGTATCGGATGTCGACAAACTTTTTGTCACAAACATTCTTATGAACATCATCAAGAATTGAGTAAAGAATTGCAAGCTATATCTGTTCAACACGATGCTATTCATCAACAGTTAACAGCAACTAATCCAGTACATCCTGTTCAAAAAGAAATTGATGAGTGGGAAGCGAAATCGCTTAGTACGATTAAAATAGTGGCTGATGAGGCTCGAACTCAAGTTTCGACCACATTAACGGAAAATAATCGTGAAATAATGAAAGATTTTGCATTATTAACAAATGAACTCGGAGTAGGTTGGCAAACAAAAAATTACGTTGAAACAGATTTAAATAAATGGCGAAATGAATTAAGTAAAACTCAACAGACTATAAATTCGGCACGAAATATGTATCTGGATTCACGTGATACATCATTGCCATCAATTAATATGATCAAAATAAAATTTAATAATTCGGATAAATTCGGTGAAATAAAGGGTAGTATGCAACTGGAAGATCATGGTCGAATCGTGTCACATTCCGGAAGTTATGATTCTCATTCAAGTGTATACGGTACAAAATTATATTCAAATGGTTTACACCGAATTCTGATTAAAATTGACAAAATGCATGATAATTATTGGATTTTTTTTGGTATATCATCTGCTATAATGCCAATGAAATCTGATGCTTGTCTATCAAGATCAGCATATGGTTGGGCAGCAACAAGTAATCGGAGAAAATTTGTTTATTTAAATGGTGTTCTAACAAATGGTACATACGCAAAATATAACGAAGATATTCGAAAAGGTGATACTATTGAATTAACATTAGATTGTCATAAGAAAAAAATTCAATTATTAAATGAACGAACAAAACAAAAATATGATATTTATGTCGATGGTCGCGAATGTCCATTTCCATGGAGATTGACTACGACACTTCATCACAGAGGCGATCGTTTAAGCCTTATTTAATATATTTTTTTAATATTAGAAAACAATAGTTTCGAACAATATTAGAGTAGAGTTATATTAATTGATACGATCGATGTTAAAAACGTTCTTTTTAGCACGAACTGTAAGTATGAAATTTCATGAATTGTCGAAGTTTTATTTGTACGATCAACAAATTATTAGAGGCAGATTATGATGTTGATTTACAATCTTAGTTCAAGCAAGTTAACTAATTCCTAAATCAATTTACATCATTTAAATCTGAATTTATAACTCGTATCTACCAGTTACGTTTTACAAATATTATTCTATTCTTAACAATATTTTGTTTTGATAAAGGATATCGCATGACTTATGCTAAACAGAAAACACTTTCTTTTACACTCAGTCAACTGCTGAGTTTTGCGTCAAAAGAATTTTCATAGTAGTATTAGCCAGAACACTATCTTTTTACCATCTTCTTTGACTTCATTCTTCTAGTAAAATTTTTTATTATGTTTGAGCTGATATTTAACACAATAAAATTTTAATTTTCACTCTGATCAGTATGATCTCATTGTGAGAACTCTTCTTCTTCAATAAAATGTGAACAGAGTGCAATATTTTCTTCTATGGATATGTTCGTGGACTAATTATCCACACATTGTATAAGATTGTGCTTCGATATAGAGCAAATCTTGTATCATTTTTTACACTAGTTATGATAACCAACAGATAAGTAGTGATATTTATAAAAATTAGTTAGTTAAAATCGACGGGCTTAAAAGCATCTCTTACAACCGTCAGAATAGAATAGAACTGTCGTATATTTCAACAAATATTAGCAAATCTTGTACCATGGCTTTTTACACTACTATCCGTTCCAAAATACAATGCCACCTGTTGCTTTTTCAATAACGTTTGATAGTAGATAGATAGAGACCTGCGGTTTTACAACCATATAGCCTGATAAAGCGCAGGGTTCTGAGGAAAGTAAGACATCTCCCGGCTGTCCATAACGCTTTTTCACTGGAATATTTTGGTAACTTTCATCTTCCATTAAAGTCATTCGTAAATCGACTGCAGTTCGAGGAAAAAAAAACTATTTGATTTTTTGATAAAATTCCGTTACGCCAAATGTCAAAAAATGTTATTTACTGTCTCCTTTTGCTATCTATGAAAAATCGGATACAACTTTAGGTAGATCTTGTCAATGCTCGCGAATGGACACCTTTTTATTGGTTCTAAGTTTGGTTTTGAGGGAGAAATCTTTAAAATAGAACGTAACAGAATTTCATGCTGCTCTAACTTCTTATCTCACAAACTGCATATAAAGAAGTTACAGTTATTATAACTGAGTGTTAGATAAATAGTACTTAATTACTACTTACTTATAGTAGAAATTTCATCAAAAAATCAAATAGTTTTGTTTTTCCTCGAACTGCAGTCGATTTACAAATGACTTTAAAGCGAGATGAAAGTTACCAAAATATTCCAGTGAAAAAGCATTATGGACAGCCGGAAGATATCTTACTTTCCTCAGAATTCTGGGCTTTATCAGGCTATATGGTTTGTAAAATTTTCTGACTCTCTTAGAGAAAATAGTGAAAAATTCTACGAAATATGCACACTATATATATGTACGTTAGAGTGAGAGAGAGCGCAGAAATTCATTGTTGTTAAACGTGAAACTTAACTCAAAACTTAAAAATGCTTGTCCAAATTTAAAGTGTGTGTATTCTCAATGATATGCTCATTCTACTGTGACTAAAAGCTGAAAAAAATGTTGACCATATACTCCGAAAGAGAATTAAGTCTTTTATCTAATAAGCTCTTTTTCTAAAAGCTTTTAAGTAAGGTTTTAAATAGTCCATGTAAAATTGCATATAGAAATGCGAATTTTTTGTCAGGACTTGTTTTATATAGTTAAAATTCAACAGCAAGTTTAAAAGAATAACATCAGGATCTTCAGAGAGTTTTCGGTGAGTATCGTTTTTTTCTACTAAAACGAATCAGTCTAAAGTTACAGAAGGTACGTATACTATTAATACATGGCGTAAAAAAGAGTCTACGAATGCATTTTAAGAACAAACATAGTGAAGCTTTTCTGCTGCTGGCGGTGTTTCACATATATTATTTGTAGCTTCTTTTGTAGTGTTTTATGTTGCGTCATCTGGAAATACCGATTGGAATGAGATGTGTTAGTGCTCAGAAATAGTTCGAAGTTTATTGCAGTTTTTGTGACAGTTTCTCCGATATGAGTATATAAAAGGCTAATGTTAGTGAACGCACCTTATTATTTTAGTGCTTGCGTCCTTATATATATATATATATATATATATTCTAGATAAAATAATAAATATCTTTTTCCTTCTTGCTAACTTTGTACAGTTAAGATGGAAGCACCGAACAACTAAAATAGATAGTGAACTCAAATAAGTGACTGAAATTTGTTGTGAAATCCTTGTTGTAATTCATTTTGTACCTCTCACAAAGAAGTTCATCACGTATTACTATTCTGCGCTTTGTTATATTTAATTGGGAGTTATATAGGTTCATCGCTAAATCTACAATTCTGTACTTTCTGAATAACGCGAGAGAAAAAGGTTTAGAAACCTGCATCGATGAAACTGATGAATCTTCAGTGAAGAAAAGTGTAGAGGATTAATGGGGTAACCAGGATTTTTAGGCTGTTGGGCTGTGCTTCATAGAGTCAAAAACCCTCGGTGAACCTAAGTGGACCGAACATTTCCTGTTTGGGCAGGAAATCTTTCCGACTGTCGCCAGTTCTGATGCCCTCCTTTTCCGTGCTGCTCTTTACAGGTCTATGGGCTGTTCTCAATATCGCATATTCTGTACGATAGTGGATGCAGAGTCGGAAGCCTGAACTGTGGTAGTCTGGTCACTAAACATATAAAGAAATAAAGAATAAGCACATGCAATAGTGTATTGTGCAATAAGCACTATCAGTAGTGTATTTTTTTCAGTTTGGGACCTCTTTTCAGAAAAACTTTTATAACTTGAGAACGAAAAGGACTTGAAACGAAAAAATTATAAGGTACAGCTAATTTTTGATCGCGAATCAAATTGCGGTCGATTTTATCGAAATATAAGTTTGTTTTCTTCGTTTTCTGACCCATTTGATTAATGCTTGATGGCTTAGAGACTGACGACTCTTCGGCTCTTTAAAAAATTTAACTGTGAAATCCAATATGTTACGAAAAAGGCATCATGAAGATAATATATGTCGTTTCGAGGTCAATAAATAACATATAGCAACTTAGATATATTGATACTTGAGAAAAATATAATTTGTTATTTACTTTGAAGTTTTTTTACATAAAACCATAAAACAACTTTTATTTAAGACATAATAAAAGTTGCTTGAAAATATTGCGTAAAGAATTCATGATGGGGTTATAGATAAAAATAGATACTTGAATAACGTTATTCATGTATCTATTTTTACGTATAACTCGTATGGTTCCAAGACTTCATTCTAACTTCAGAAGATAGAAAATTTTCTGCTTTACAAAGTCCTATACACACACTTTCACTGCGTTGTTTGGCCAGTTCTTTTCCTGCTTTTTTCAAAATCTCACGTTGCCCGAAAGTACAGATTAACTTGTGCAGTGAAAGCTTCACAATTTGAGTGACCAAACAAATAAGCAGCGTAGTTTGGATGATAGCGCTGAATCCGTCGACTATTTTTATACCAACTTCTCTCAATTACTATATTATTTCTCGAAAAGTTACACAAAAACGAAAAGCTACCAAAATTTTGATAGGAAATCGCAGTTATACTTTTTACCTGTCCCTATTGTACCCCCTAATTCTGCTGGAACTGTCACTAGCTCAGTTCCTGTTGGAACTGAACCAGTGACCAGTTCTTTCCACCAGTTCTTAGGAACTATAGAAACTGGAACTGCCCTACCCCTACTACAAACCTGCAATTCTTTCATTTACGCCAGAAACTTTTGTATATATTGTGAGAGTTCCCGTGAAACTAACTGGTGGGACAAAAATAATGATACGCTTTTGTCCTCTTTTCTTCCGAGCACAACTGGGGTCGAAGGTTCAATTCTAAACTCATTCGATCAAGAATTTTTTAAAAAATAGTGCAGAGTAGGGACAGATAAAAAGTATAACTCCTATTTCCTATCAAAATTTTGGTGGCTTTTCGTTTTTGTGTAGCTTTTCGAATGAATAATCGAAACTCGTAGGGCAAAAATCGTCCAGAAAAAACGTAAAGTAGAAAACCAGTGTGGGTTTCACGGTGTAATGAAAAGTCGTAAGATAAAAATATGTAAATTCCAGAACTGTGAAGAAGTGAAACAGTCAGGAAGGCGACATTAACTATATATACGAGAACTTTTTGCCAGAACAAACACTTTTGTGTAATTAGGTTTCAAAACTGTTATGAAAACTCTATTATTACTTACTTTTCTTGCAGAAGACTTACGTTTTCCGCACAGTTATGCGTGGGATGTTTACATTTTGCGCAGAGTTGACGAATAATCTTGAATTGAATCTTTGTGGGTTTGAACACGGTACCTTCGAATTGCATGACAAACGCATTAAGCCCTCGCGTATATTCTACAATCACATAGATTTTGTATATATATTGAAAAAAATTCAACTTTTATTTTACTTTTGTACACCGTTTTTATGGATCATGTACTCCATAAACAAATTAACGATTCTTACTAATTCTTGTTTTACTAACAACTTTTAATTAACTATGGTTTCATCCGTGGTTTTTTTATGCGGAAAAATCAACATTCCTGCGGAACAAAAGGAATTTTTGGAATATCGATTTGCACGCAGAATTTTTCCGCAAATTCTTCCATCGATCGGCCAGATACACGAAGCTCCTGATTTGACTAGACCGCTCTAATTTTAGAGTTTCCTCCTAGTAAAAATTCTGCTGATATTAAAAGCTGACTTTAAAGATCTTTTGCTGTTTTCTCCTTTTCAGCATGTCTTGGGTTTATTTCCATAAGATTGCAGTTATCCATTTTTAATAAAGTTCCATTCTTCGG